GATTGGTTGATTAGATAATTGAATTAATGAGAAATTGAACAGGTGTTCCTAATAATCCTTTAGGTGAGTGTATTTTGTGTGGAGCTTGCAAGGTCTGCATCAGAGTCCTGCACGCGGATGACCCACAAGTTTTGATTTAATAGGCGAGAAAACTATAGGCTATATGTAATGTACGGGTACGGTGCGTAATAATGGCAATGCGTGTTTTCGACATATTTTTGAAAACGTTATCAACTTAAAATGTATGAAAATTTTTATTTACAGAAGCACGGCCTATGTTAAAATTGATAATAAACTTTTTTATTATTATTATATAGGCTTCACCGGGGGTTCAGGTCTCGAAATCAATTAATTTGAAGCGGGTCGGGCGGACTACGTAGTTTAATTAGCGCTGCTGTCGGATAACGATACAGATGCGGTTTTAAGCACTGCAGGTACGGCCAGGTGCAGGTTGACAAACCAGGACCCGTGCAGGATTCTGCCTTGCATCGGTTTGTGAGAATTTTTCAAGGTTTTATCCCACAGTGCAAAAACATGTGATTAGGTGATTAAATTGCCCAGAGTGAGTTTGTGCTCGTGCCCTGTTCGAAACGTTCCTGTGATCTTACTGGAATAGACTCACCGAGACACGACAGCAATCAAGGAAGATGGATGGATTTTTGTATAACATTGCTCCCCTAGCCCTGAATGAAGATTGTGACTGTAATTTAGAACAACACATTCTGTATAATATATTTAATAAGTTTTGATGGCGAAAGGGTTTGGTTTTTGATCATTTTTTGAAATCTCTGGGGTAGCAAATGATGTGAGAGCCTTGAGTCAACTTTAGAGTGGATCTGATTAAATTGTGATAATTCAGAAATAAAAACGAAGGCGCATAGAGGTTAATATTATGAATGACTAAAAACAAATCATTTGCTGTCTTTTAAAGTTTAAATGTTTATAGGCCAATAAACGTTTATACTACTAAATACTGTATCATACAACAAGAACAATAACATTAATAATAATACATTTCTACAAAATACACATTCTCTACCTTCATTGTAGGGAGCATTTTCCCAATACCTTTTCAAATCACTTAAGCTCCACTCCCACCAAGCGACAGATCTTGTCATTGACACAAACACCGCTTCTCTTACTATGCTTCTCCCCCTGCTGGAGAAGTGTGTGAAGCACAGCTGAAGAAAAAGATTGGACAGTTGTAAACATTGTGCAATCTGTACATTATCAACTTAATAAATATTCAAGTATTTTATGAACAATTCCATTCAGCACCCTTTTATCCAAGGTTCAAGAGCTTATGGTAGTAAACAGTCAGTTCCACTACGCAATGAAATTCTTGCCCTAAATATTCTTCCAGCACGGGAAGACATAAACGCAGAACACAGATGACAAATACAAATTAAGGCACTTACAGTAAGACAATACATGCGAATACAATTATAACAATAATTACATTGACGCAGTGCAATATAACATGTAGTGCAATGTAAACTGCAAATACTGCACGGGTGTGGATAAGGAAGAGCTAGAGGTAGGTGACCAGGCTTACGTGCCGGGTATTAGTGCAGAAAAAGGAGAACAGCGTCTTATTGTTTGGAGGTAGACTGTTTCTACAGAGTTAGTGTGCTGTGAGGGGCGGTGGGCGAGAGACGTGCCTATAAGCCTGACGATCTGCATGTAAAAACTTCTGCATACGGAGTGTTGAGGACCCTGATGCCACACATCTGTAGCGTCTGCCTGATGGTAAGAATTAATGTGATTAGGCTATGTTGATTTTATCTGCATCATACAGCATTTTAGAATTACTTGTCATCACTAATACGATGTATTTAAACTTTCAATAGTTGCCCTAAAATAACTTAATTTTCCTTTATTTTTAAACTTGTATGAAATTAAATGCGGAAAATGACATGATTATCGTATGCAAAGACGGAACGAAGAGGCTAAGTATGGGATGAGGGTAGCTCGATGTCTACTTTTTAACATTATTTTAGTTATTTGTTTATTTATTGATTTATTTCAATAGCTCTCATGAGGCTGGCGGTCGGATCGCTGAAAGGCAAAAGCAGCCTTCAAGTGCTACTCGATCGAAGGATCCCAGTAGGCAGAAGGGAAATCGTAATTACGACAAGACGCGCGTCCAAGTGGTTAAGTCGGAGCAAAATGGAGGCTATAAGAAAGCTACTTTTTGTTTTAATTTCTCGTTCCTCCAACGCCAAACCGCATTCGTACCGTTAATTGAACTTGAAGAAAACCAAAGGAACGCATTTGTTTGTGTTGCAATCTATAGTTACTAGCTGGTCCAGTTTACAACATAAGTTAATTGATTAATATATGTAAAACAATAAATCATCACATTAATCAATTATTAGCCTACATTACTTTTCGTAATCCCTTGTTTAAACAACAGGTAGCTAACTAACTAGATTAAATAATTTTTGAGGCAAAAGCCATCACATTTTTTTACGGTACACCATTTAATAACGATTCTCACCAACATTCAAAACAATTAAGAGTTTAGCGATGACGCGCTAGATAAAATGTACTACTTTGAAAATAATTTGCATTTCACTGTAGAGGTATCCGTTGTCTCCATAATGATGCGCCCCAGCACGGGAAGTCGGGACATAAAGTTTCTCACTGGTAAATACAGTGGCGTTCAGGTGCTCTTATCATATTTTTACGATTTTTCCAAGATGACTTGAAGGCAGGGAAAGCTGTTGATGAGCCCAATAAGTCGCTATTGTATGATAAGCGTATGTTGGTATGTATGATATAAAAAACTATTTCTGTGGTGTACCGGTGCCTTTCATGGAGGCGTTCAATAACGCAGCCAACACTGACATTCTCAAGCACAACTCAACGTTTCTTTTTTATTCGGTTCCTTTCCTATAGTTAAACGCAACTTCTACCTAAAACAGACATCACAGTGCCATCTACTGGTTAGGCATATAAGTGTAACAGTGTACATTTTGCTGTTTCCACTTGCACTCCTGTGTGAGCCAGCTTTTCCCATATATACTAATCGTATAGTGGTCAAATACTGGCCTCTAGTGGTAGCTTAGGTAGAACTGCTTGGCTCTCTCACAGTTTTGGAGATTAAGCCAGCGGTAAGTTCTATGTCAACAGCGCTCCGATGTATGCTCCAGTGAACATTTCAAATCAATACTGATTGATAGAGATTGCATCTCCCTCCTTGTAGATGTTGTTGTTTATGTAGTTTTGAATGGATTTTTGTCGAAGTTTTGAAACCACACGTGAGCTAACATTCCGTCTCTCCCCATACTAGCATTGCTTATATATTTCAAGCTGTGCCACCCTGCGGACTCCCAACCTTGTGTTATTTGTGCCAGGTACATATCATGCACTTTCCTATGTTCATTTTGTATTTTATTGTATTCATAAATATGGCACAGTTTTGGAGATTAAGCCAGCGCATTGCTTATATATTTCAAGCTGTGCCGCCCTGCGGACTCCCAACCTTGTGTTATTTGTGCCAGGTTAATAAAACCGCTGCATGGCCCCACGTCCCTTCGTTCTTTGAGTGAAAACCACAACGCAGACACATGAGGGGTTACATAAGTACCTAAGGTCCATACATAACATTTAATTTCTTGTCTTCACTGATTTCCGCCCAGAGCAGAATGGGTTTCCTAACTCAATGTTTCCCAACCCAGTCCTCGGGGAACCCCAGACAGTCCACGTTTTTGCTCCCTCCCAGCTCCCAGCCAATCAGGAACACAGAATCAGGTGCACTGGGAGCTGAGAGGATGCAAAAACGTGGAATGTCCAGGGTTCCCCGAGGACTGGGTTGGGAATGTATGTCCTAACTGATCTCTTGCTATTGCATTTCCTCTTCCAGTGAAGATCATTTATCTATTTCTGTCTCCAAATATCCAGTATTTTTAATTTATCTTAACAGAATTAGAGAGCACAGCTAAAAATAGTTTAGCAAGGGTTTCCATGCTAATTAGTGCATTGCATCAGTCTTCTGTACATCTGTACAGCTTTAGGTTATTATTATTATTATTATTATTATTATTATTTTATTTTGTCACCCACCAGCCACAGCTTCTGGCTGCCAGGGAAGCATAACGAGGGAGCTAAACAAGTGGCAGCTGGAGTGAGTAACACAAGGGCAGGAACAAGAGGTAAGACGAACGAGGGATGGGCATGGCTTGTTAGAGTCACACTAGGAAGGTGACAGGAGGGCTGAAGGGGTAGGGCGTAATATCATGCAAAGCACATTAAATAAAAAGCACTTTACAGAACAAATACTGCTTATTCTGATATATTTCAGTTGCAGTAAACCAGTGGTACAAAAATATAACAAAGGAGCTTTAAGGCATTTTACAAGAGTGTCGCCTTATATTTCTTTCTCAGATGCTTTTGTCCAAAGCAGTGTACAAGTGGCATCAGAAAGTGGATTTAACTGTATCCATGAAGCAACTGGGATTAAGGACCTTGCTCAAAACACTCAGCTATGGGGGTGTAACGATTCCATGGTTCGATTCAAGCCCTTGATTTTTAATGTTTTTTTTGGGGGGGGTGTAAGACAAAAAATTCTTTATTAGTCACCAACCATTTGGAACACTAAACAGAACACCAAAGTTCATGTTACATTAGCTTAACTTTAACACATAAAATAACTATGTTAACGAAGTTACTTAAAAAAAAAACTGTGCTGGATAACGCAAATGCTGACTTGAATGTACCTGGGTTCTCTGCAATCTCACGGTTATGATTCATCTTGAGCTAATGAAACTAGCCTAGCTTTTAGTGCAGGTGCGCTCATGGGCACAGACCCCGAACGCACAGAGCCATACCCCATCCCATACCCCATCCCATGCCCCATCCCATACCCCATCCCATACCCCATCCCATACCCCATCCCATGCCCCATCCCATACCCCATCCCATACCCCATCCCATACCCCATCCCATGCGTTACAGCCTTTATCTGCATGGTCGACAAGTAAAGAGCAAATTCCCAAAACTCCACGTGACATGTGTTTAAGAAAGTTTCTGTGGGTGTTTGACAAAAGTTTTGGTTCCCAATACTGTAACATATGAGGAAGCCTGACTTTAGGTCATTGGTGGTCTCATTTTAAAACAAAAGTTTTAAGTTTTGGAAATTTGCTCTTCAGTTAGATCTTTTTTGGTAACCCCTTATCAGCCATGGCACAGTGCCCTTCATGTCTGCCCTCTGTACACTATACTCCGTTTCTCAGACCTACCAACATTTTTCTTGTTTTGTTTACCACTGTGAAACTGCCACATTGACTTCTGACACAGTAATGCAACCCGTTCTCACAGCCTGCTTTAGCTGCAAAGGTGGTGTGTGTGCCAGCTAAATAAAGCCCTTATGGAGTTATGAAACATCACGTAACCAATAACGAAAGCTACAGCTTCTGCTTTTGTTGCTCGCCTTCTGCTGACCACACTTTACTTTTCGATTATCTGCCATTGACAGTATGAACTCTGCATTGCAATGGAACCTTAAATAATAAACTTTCGACAGTCACTACAATGCAGAGAGACACACTGGAGTATGCATTCTGTCTGCTGCTGTGGAGCGTGCACATACTCACCGAAGGTAAGCAGATGTTGAATCTGTGAAGTTTGATGGTTCTGACACACCACATGTGTTAATGCAGATGTATAATATTGTTTTCCTTCTATAAAAATATTCTATGATTGAGGGAAATGTGTGTCGTATATTTACAAAAACAATGTAAGAAGGAAACATTAAAACAGTTTAAAATGGAAAGGATGTAGATTTGTTTGAATATTTATTACATAGTATAAATAATGGCTTTATTCCAGCCAATGAGCTTTGAAATTAAGTATATATAAATTCCCAGTTATATCTTAATTTCCCAGCAAATAAGTTAATGTCTGTCTCTCTCACACAAACAAAACAAACAAATAACACCATTAAATAGAGACCACATGGGTGTGTATCTTTTATAATTGTGAGTTAAAAAATAACAGGAAAAGAATGATGATTGTTTTTAACAGGTTTTTTTAAAACAAAATTGTTCTGCTTATTATCAGCATTATATAATTTATAATTATCACTAAGGGTTTTTTCCTGGTAACAGTACACATTTCTTAATATTATTCTACCTGGATCTTGCACAATTTAACTGCAGGACTGATGAACGACTGTCTGGAAGTTGGAAGCAGTGGTTTATTCCCATGCACAAACAGCTTATCCAATGAGTCAGTGCTTATGACTTGTATTGTGCAAAGGACTGATGGCAATATATGCACAATCACACTGGACCTTGACACTTACGAATTAAGCACATGTGACCCCAGGATGTCATTAAACATAACCGGGCTCACAGTATTCCTCAGCATCAGCAACATACAGCAGGCCGATGAAGGAAATTACTCCTGTGAATATGCTTACAGTGGTGGAATGAATATAACTGACTTTAACATCTGTGTATCAGGTATGTGTTGCTAAATTATTGAACATGCAGAGACAACTGAAAAAAGGGCTCTAACCTGTGGGGAATAAATACAGAGTATAAAATGAAATCAGCACACAGCAAGCTGAATAAGAGCAGACAGGCTCCACTGTTATGTGTAAGCCCCCCCCCCCAACCTGGTCCTGGTTATTGGGGCTTTGATTGGTTCACGTGGTCTCCAAGTAATAAGACTTCTGATTGTAATTCTGATTACAGTGATTAAACTTCATTAATTAACCTTGCTATCCAACCTGTTTTTAATCTATGATCTGAATAATTCTCTCTTAAAAATTGCTTGTATCTGTTAGATAATTAGGCCATTGTTGAAATTTCGAGAATGATGTTAATATTATTAAACTTTTATGTGGCACTGTAAGATTGTTAACATGATACAATTATAAAATACAAATCTGGCCTTTTAAATTGATAGGTAGAAAGCATTCTATGTTTTTCCAAAATTAAAATCTGCCCTTTCGGAAATGTTGGCAGCTATGAAATGTCTTAATTTTTCTTGCAGAATCCCCAACCGAATCAAACAATGGATATCTCATACTTCTCAGTTGTGCTGTATCTATTGGCATGATCTGTATTGTAATTCTAATCTTGTGGAGCTTACTGCTGTATCATAAAAGGTAAGAGAATAAGTGCTGAATGTAGATGTTTCTCTGTTCACCACTGTTCACCAGTCTTTTACACTGTCCTACTGCCATAGTGTGTAAGAAGGAAGGAGGGATCTGGTTTATAGCTACATTATAAAGGTGAATTCACCCCAGATATGACTCTTATAGCAGATTCACTCACTTCAAATGTTTCCTGTGAGAATAAATTTCTCTACATAAAAATCTTTAATACTTCCCAAAGGGCAAGTATTATGCTTAATTAATTTGAATTTCTCATTTACTTGGTGATAATCACTTTCCACATTTTTAATGGATCATTTGTCATATGCAGCCATGGAAAAAATTAAGAGACCACAGCACAGTTTTTTTGTTTAACTCATTTCTCAATTTATGTGAATAATATATACTTTTTTGCAAACTGAAGCCTGGTTCTTCTCTGTTTCTCATTAATGAAGGGCTTCTTCCTTGCTTTAAGGGACCTCAGTTCTGCTTCCAAGAGCCTGAAACAAACTGTCCTAGCAGTGCCCTTCACACCTGCACTTAATGTTTGGCATTGTTTTTGAAGGTCACTTGATGTCATCCTATGATTCATGAGAATTTGTCGAATAAGTTAATCCGACAAGTCACCTCTGGCATTATAAAGTCGCTCCTGCCCTCTACCTGGCTGGTTTCTGGTTGTTCTCAGTCTCAGGCTTCACCTTATTCTTGTGTACTGCTGTCTTAGAAATTTTGAACCTGGAAGCAACCTGCTGCTCAGTGTAGCCTTCTGCCCGCAGAACCAGGATTAAACCAGGATTTAAAAATGTAGAGTTGTTTAAAAATTTAGAGTGGTCTCTTAATTTTTTCCACAGCTGTTTATTCTAGAAATTATTATGGCGAGTGAAATGAAATATTTGTATGGTATATGGCTGCCACAGGATAGTATTACTCCCTCATACCTGTAGCACTGAGGGTTTAACTCTTTGGAGTCTGAGGTCTCTCCACCCCTTTTCAGGTTGTCTGATATGCCTTGACATTGAAAATATTTCACCTATCTAAAAAACATTTACCCCAAAGTGCTACAAATGCTTTTATTCAGCACAAACTCACCCAGGAAGTGTGTGTGTGTGTGTGTGTGTTTGGGTCAGATATACATTACATTGTGGGGACCGTTTTTTCTCAAGGGGAACTCCCATTTTATAAAAGTCTGCAACTCCAATCAAAAAGCTAAAAATGCCAAAAGACTTGTATTTCATTTCATAATTTTTGGTTAGGGTTAGGGCTTGGTAAGAGTTAAGGTTGTCATTGTTGTGATTAGGGTTTTGCCCATAGAAATGAATGGACAGTCCCCACAAAGATATGAGTACAAGTGTTTGTATCTGGAATGTACATAATTTCCCCACGTTGCTCAGCTTACCTTCCAAAGTACAAAAGCATGCAATTAGGGAAACTGGCATCTCTGAATTACCAGTAGTGTGTATATATCAATGGGTACTCTACTACTGATTTGCATCTGGTCCATAGTGTTCTCTTGCTTTGTGTTCTTTGTCCAGTGGAATAAACTCCAGTCTCTGCACAGCTCTGTACTGGATGAAGAGTTGGGCACTGGATGGATGTGGTGTTTGTTAAAAGGCATAATAAAGTGCAATATGTAAAATCCATCCATCCATTTTCTGTAACCGTTTGTCCTGTGAGGGTTGTGGGGGCTCCAGAGCCTATCCCAAAGGCTACAGGTGTAATACACTCACCTAAAGGATTATTAGGAACACCATACTAATACGGTGTTTGACCCCCTTTCACCTTCAGAACTGCCTTAATTCTACGTGGCCTTGATTCAACAAGGTGCTGAAAGCATTCTTTAGAAATGTTGGCCCATATTGATAGGATAGCATCTTGCAGTTGATGGAGATTTGTGGGATGCACATCCAGGGCACGAAGCTCCCGTTCCACCACATCCCAAAGATGCTCTATTGGGTTGAGATCTGGTAACTGTGGGGGCCATTTTAGTACAGTGAACTCATTGTCTTGTTCAAGAAACCAATTTGGAATGATTCGAGCTTTGTGACATGGTGCATTATCCTGCTGGAAGTAGCCATCAGAGGATGGGTACATGGTGGTCATAAAGGGATGGACATGGTCAGAAACAGTGCTCAGGTAGGCCGTGGCATTTAAACGATGCCCAATTGGCACTAAGGGGCCTAAAGTGTGCCAAGAAAACATCCCCCACAGCATTACACCACCACCACCAGCCTGCACAGTGGTAACAAGGCATGATGGATCCATGTTCTCATTCTGTTTACGCCAAATTCTGACTCTACCATTTGAATGTCTCAACAGAAATCGAGACTCATCAGACCAGGCAACATTTTTCCAGTCTTCAACTGTCCAATTTTGGTGAGCTCGTGCAAATTGTAGCCTCTTTTTCCTATTTGTAGTGGAGATGAGTGGTACCCGCTGGGGTCTTCTGCTGTTGTAGCCCATCCGCCTCAAGGTTGTGCGTGTTGTGGCTTCACAAATGCTTTGCTGCATACCTCGGTTGTAACGAGTGGTTATTTCAGTCAAAGTTGCTCTTCTATCAGCTTGAATCAGTCGGCCCATTCTCCTCTGACCTCTAGCATCAACAAGGCATTTTCGCCCACAGGACTGCCGCGTACTGGATGTTTTTCCCTTTGCACACCATTCTTTGTAAACCCTAGAAATGGTTGTGCGTGAAAATCCCAGTAACTGAGCAGATTGTGAAATACTCAGACCGGCCCGTCTGGCACCAACAACCATGCCACGCTCAAAATTGCTTAAATCACCTTTCTTTCCCATTCTGACATTCAGTTTGGAGTTCAGGAGATTGTCTTGACCAGGACCACACCCCTAAATGCATTGAAGCAACTGCCATGTGATTGGTTGATTAGATAATTGCATTAATGAGAAATTGAACAGGTGTTCCTAATAATCCTTTAGGTGGGTGTATATGTGTAAAATGAACATGCTAATAGAAACTGGTGACTTTCTCTATACAGCGCGTGCAGAACACAAACAGTGAACCTTTCTTCGCATACAGATCAGGTACAGAAAATGATTTTTAATGACTCTATAAAGGAATATGTGTATATATGTGTATCTTGTCCATTTTATTTTGGCAAAACTAACTAATGCATACAAATGGCCAGAAATGTACTGTAATGTGTTGAAAATGCATACCCAATATTGGTTTATTTAAAGTTTTTCAGCCTTATACCAAAGCAAAGGTTGGCACTTTTATACGTATATAAGTGCCTTATATATTTATATATTAGACAGCCTTGTGTCATTGTAGGAATTATGTACTGTGGTGCTGCTTTTGTGATGAAATGAACTGTTTTACAGGACATGAGGGATTTTGAACCTTACAGCACCTTCATTCAGAAGGACGATGGATTCTATTCAGTTGCGATCCTGAGCAACATAAACCCATAAGTGCTTTTTAAAGTAGAAAGGATACATGTATGATTTTTATTTATTCAGTATTATACTGACAAAATTAAACTTTGTCCCTTCAGTATGAAAAGCATACATGTACAGTTGTGTCCAAATTAACTTGCATCCATTTACATGAAGTTTGACAGTAATTCCACTAATTTCTAACTGATGTTTCAGACTGTAGAAATAAAACTTCTGATTTTATAAATAAAAATGTGAAAACATGTAATAGAGAGGACTGGCATCTCATTCAGGGTGTACCCCAGCTTTGGGCCGTGTTCTGCCTGGGATGGGCTCTACACTCCCATACAACTGTGGCCAAGTGGTCAGTGGAACTATTAGCTTAAAGTACTCACACAGTGAAAGATTAAAATAGTCTTATTTTGGGGTCTGGTGTTAAATAAATATCCTTTAAAAGCAGTTCTTAGTGTGAGCTAAGGCAGTACAAACCCCAGAATGCAGCCGTGAATGGAGGCAAAGCCCTCTGAAGGGGACTTAATTTAAGAGGAGTTGGGACGACAATAGGGAACAATGCAAACAGGAAAACAGCTGGATAGCAACAGGAGGGTTCTGAAGGACCAGCAGGGACCCCTGCTGGTCATACCGGGGGCTGCAACGGACAGGTCTTGACAGAGCACCCCCCCCCCTCCAAAAAAAGTGGGTACTCTGGGCACGGGAAACTCGTCCATGACCAGGACAGGACAGATGTGTCCAAAGATGGGACAGAACATGGCCAGATCAACAGAACACACAGGACAGACACCAGGTGAGACCCAGAACAAGACCAAAGGGACAGAGACCAGGCCATAATGGAACCAAAGAAACAAACACAAGACACAGGAATGGACCAGGAACACAAGGTCACACTGAACACAAAGGGTGATATCAGGCAAGACACAGCAGGGCAGAACCACAGGACAGGACATACAACAAGACCAGGGGGATAGAACTGACAAGGGCAGGACAGGACAGGAGATACCAAAATCACTACAAACTCCAAGACAGGGCAATCAGGTAGAGGGACAAAGGGGACAGGTACAGAGTCCAGGATCAGGTCAGCAAGACAGTCAGGGACATGGCAGCAGTCGGACACCAGGAAATGAGGTGGGCGCCGGCAAAACAACAGGGTATGAGGTGCCAGTGGGACACCAGGAGACAAGGCGGGTGCCGATAGGACATCTGGAGATGTGTGGCTTTTCTCTGTGGGATGGCAGATGAAGCAAAGCAGGCTGATCAGTCCAGAACAGTGTCCTGACTGGAGGAGTGGTCTCACCTGGTCAGGTTTGAGTGGCACAGCTGCCGCAGAGCCAGGTTTGGGTGATAGGACGCTTCCTGGGCCAAGAGGCAGGAGCACAGGCACAGCGGCCTCCTCTGGGTCAGAAGCCTGTGGCCTGTACTACGGAGTGGGGTTACTGGCTTATTGGGGTAACTTGTCAGATTTAAGTTACCGCAGTTTAAATGGACTTCATATTTGTTAATTTACATTTTGCCCAGACTACCTTAAATCCGACAAGTTACTCCGATAAGCCAGTAACCCCGCTCCGTAGTACAGGCCCCTGCAGTGTGGACAGAGCGGCCCTCTCAGGGCCAAGTGCAGCAGCAGTGAGGATGGGCCCTGGGGCCTCAGCAGAAGCAAGGATGGGATAAGTGGGCCCCTGTGCGGCCCTTCCCAGGTCGACCTCAGGTGCAGTGAGTCTCTGTGGGTAGGACTCTGGAGGATTGGGTGGAGTGGCGGCCTTGCCTGGGCCGGGCTCTAGAGGTACAACCTCTCCTGGGTTGGGCTCTGGAAGCACTGGGTCAAGCAGGGTGGCAGCCACAGGCACCGCTATCTTCCTCTGCTTCTTCCTCTTGTGAGGCAGAACCAGCAGGCGGATCTGTGGTGGGTGGATCTAGGGGGGACAGATCTGCAAGGGCATCTGTGGTGAGCTGGTGGGCTGAGCCGCGGCGAATTATGGGGAGTTGGCGGGTTGAGTGCTGTGAGCTGCAGGGAGTCAGCGGGCTGAGCCACTGTGAGGTTTGGGGAGTCGGCGGGCTGAGACACTGTGAGGTTTAGTGAGTCGGCAGGTTGAGACACTGTGAG